GGACGCTGAGTGGGAGAGCGAGCATCTGTGGCTTTACCTGCTGGCCCTGGGCTTTGACCCGTCGATTGAGTGCTCTCGCTTCCAAATGGGAACGTAAGTGCGGGGGAGGGGAGGGGGCTGGCGCCGGCCCCCGAGGCCCTGCGTCTCACCCAAGCACACGCCTCAAGAATCATTAGAATCATAGAATGGTTCGGCTTCGAGATCGCCTAGTTCCAACCTCCTGCCATGGGCAGGGACACCTCCCACTAGACCAGGTTGCTCAGAGCTCCGTCCAGCCTGGCCTTGGACACTTCCAGGGAGGGTCTTCCACATATTCTCTGGGCAACCTGTTCCAGTGTTTCACCACCCTCGCAGAAAAGAATTTCTTCCTAATAGCTCATCTAAATCTGCCCGCGTTCAGTTTGAAACTATTACCTCTCATCCTGTCACTACACTCCCTCCCCTTCTTTCCTGTAGGCCCCTTTTAAGTACTGGAAGATCACTATAAGGTCTTCCGAGAGCCTTCTCTTCTCTGGGCTGAACAGCCTCAACTCACTCAGCCTGTCCTTGTAGAGGTGCTCCAGCCCTCTGAGGAGCAGGAGGGGTCTCACCACAGCCACCAAAGGGCCTGGTGCCCTTGGGAATGCATAACACAGGAGAGATGCCGGAGTTGTAGTCATTGGTGTTGTCCATGTCTGAAGAAATGCAATCCAGAAACAGTAATAATTGTTGGTATCCACTGTGATGCGTCCTGCATAGTTGTGTGGAGAAAGTGAGGTGGTTGGCTTCATACCTCTTTTTTTTGAAAACTTCTTTGAGAGAAGGCACTCTCACCAAAATTATTTCAACTTTGTTAAATAGATGGGAGTATGTGTATTTTTAACTATGCAGAAAATAAAATGTTCAATGTATAACTTGTAATGATTTAACATAAAGTAATGTTTCATAGTCATCAGCTGCCAGTAAAAATGCTATGTTAATTTGGCGTTATGACTTCTTCTGATGTAGCTATTTATTTGTGTATTAGGACAATGTTTCATACTCCAAACAGGAGTGCATTTCATATCACTGCCCTCTTCCTGTTTTCTAAACTGGATTGTGTACGTGCCAAAGAAACTTTCAGGTAAGCATTTGGCTTGTGAAGTTTCTGGTAGTATCTGTAACTTGGAGAGTTTGATAAAAGCTTACATAGCTGTAGATACCCTACATTTTACGGTTAGCTGTGCCAGCAGCACTGCATTGCAGAATTAAGACTTTTGTCCTTGAGCTCTTCTCTAAACAAGTATGTAACTCTTGCTTGCTAATTATGAAAAGAGATCCTGACCAGCCGAGTACGGCTCATGTTGGGAGTCTGTCCGTGAGAATGGACAGATAAGAGGCTTCTCGTACACAAAGTGTGCATGGGACTGAATGGGAGAGTGTGATCAAAACAGACCTGGGAAAGTCCGTTCTCCCTGTGTGATAAGAGAGTGATTGGAGGAGTACCTGAGCTAATAACAACCCTGGCTGCATAGTCTGGTCTCTTGTTTGTAACCCACAAATAGTACTTCTTGCTAATAAGTATAAATATGTGTGCCTGCTTGCAATAAAGCAGATTCCATTTTCCACCATATCAGAGTCCGTGCATGCTTCTTCACGCATAGCTGCAAAGTAACCTAGCTTTCCCATTCATTTTTTCTCTGACTAAAGAGCAGTAACATTTTCCCGTTATGAATTGCTGCCAGGATCTTCAACATGCGAGATCCCCATCTTCCTTCATGTTTTTCTTCATATAGCAGAGCTATTTTAATTTACTCCTTAAAGAAATGTCTGTAGGAAAACCAGTGATATGAAAATTGTCAGTGTTCAGAGCCCTTTATAAAACTTGCTGCAGACAAATCTGTCTCTGAAATAGTCTGCAATTAATTTATTTTGTCAAGAAAACCTGGTAATTTAACAAACATTTAGCTATTCTTAGTCTAGGCTATATCTCCTCATTTTATGGCTCTGCCAGGAGACATTGCCAAGTAATCTTTGTCTTAGTCTTGTGCTTCTAATGATTCATTAGGTAACTGAATACTTGAATATGTTTTGAAATTGCTTTTTTCTCTCTTCTTTTTCCCCATACCTTTTAAATGGAAAGAGGCTTTCTCTTTCCATTAGGAAAGAACGAAGAGCCTCAATTTAGGAAGCAGTGCTGTATATGGCTAAAAGAGATTGCAGTGAGTATTATGAATAGGAGAAATTACTGCTCTACTGATTTCTGTGAGCTCGGGTTTTTTTGGTTGTTTTTTGGGGGGGGTGGGGGAAATATGTATTGCTTTTAAATTCGGGTTTTAAATAAGGTGGTTTTTTTCCAAAGAATCTTGTTTTACCTTTTATCCTATTTCACATAGTTTACCTTAGACTAAAGAACAAATCAAAATTGATCACTTCAGGTAACATTGGCTATTATACTGTCTTTTCATGCTCCCGATGTTTTAACAATGGTTCTAGAAATCAGCTCTGTATGTACTGGAACACTTTTAGTCGTAATGGGCAAGGTGAAAGCCAACGATGCAACATCTTTGAGTAAGGAAAAAAGCAGAAGAAAGTACACTGATAGATAACTTAAGTAGAAAATACAAAAGAAGACATGAATGTTTTTTCAAAGATGGGGATAACTTAAGTAGAAAATACAAAAGAAGACATGAATGTTTTTTCAAAGATGGGGAATTGCCAATTAGAAGTGAGGAGAGTAGAGATTTCTAACAATTACCCAACATGGATTTCAGTCTTTTTCTTGAAACTGTCTTTTACTTACAGCACTACTCGGGATGGTGGGGGGAACATTCAAAAAGTTTTAATCTCCTCTGTTGACTGCAGTAGATGTCAGCTGTGGTAGCAGAGTAATTTAGCTTTGTATTAGGCTTTGTTGTCAAGTAGGCTGTAGTGTTTTGGTACTCTGCTAAATGTTTGGTGGCTTTTGTTTAGGCTTTATTTCTTAGATTAGTTTTGTGTTTAAAACCAGTTTAACTTTTCTAGAATGCAAAAGAAGGCTATCTTCCAATGGTTACACCTTCTTCACTTCTGTGTCCCGGTGGTCCTAAATTTACTGAGCTTTTTTACCAGTTTGCAAGACATGTAATGATTGAGGACCTGAAAAGGATTTCTGTAGGTAAGATGTACCGGAACAATAAGAGTGCTTCATTTGGTGTATTTGACAGTGAATCTATCAAGTCTTTAATATATACCAAGAGCTTTAAGTAGTTCTGAGTTGGCTGCGCAGTTCAAAATCTTTCATAGCGTTCTGTGCACTTGCATAATGCTACGGCTGATATAACAATGCAGATTGTTTTGCTTTTTATTGCTTTATGGCTTATTGATCTTGCCTCAAGGTTCATCTGTGTAAACCATGTAAACCATTACCTTCACAAGAAATGGTTTGGTCCAAAAGTATTGGACTGCTATACTATACTCTTTCTCACAACTTAAGGAATTCTGAAGGATTCTAACTGTCTATTTTTGGCATCTCGTGTTTTGGTGACCTAAGTTGTCGGGATGGGGAACGAGAGTGAGAGAATGAAAATGTGTACAACAGAGAGAACTGGCGAAAAAAAAGACAGTACTCTGTGCGATGTATTTCAGTCCAGGGAGAATGGGCATCTTGATTTATGATTCTTTCAATTCAAACTAGGGAGATTAGGAACTTCTCTATTTGCTAAAAGTGGATGATGTAATCCAAATATTGACCTTCGTTTAGGCACTGATATACCTTTTGCTGAAGCTGAATTTTTGGAACCTATTGATGAGTACTTGACAAATGCAAGATGTAGAATTGCATACAATAAACTTCTGCAGAGTTTTCAAAAGGAAGATTTTGTTATTCAAGAATATGAGAAAAAAGCACAGTAAGTAATGCATTTGAAGAAAGAATTTTTGGAAAAGCTGACGTGTGTGTGTGTTCTTGAAAGGATTTGAGGAGGCTGCATCTGCTGTACATCATGATTTCTAATGGACTTCTCCCCATTTTTTCCCTCTTAACCTTCTTAATTGACAGTTCTACTGTTTTTAGCATCTTTTGTGAAGCATAGTAAGGTGAAGAAATCAGTTCTTCAGTTAGGAGAGGCTATATTATGGAGTATATGGTTACATGGGCATTAAAAATGACCAGGGAATTTGGCATATATAGCATTATAACTTATTAACATTTGAATGGCCATATATGTGGAATCTAACTGTCTCAGGATCATAAAATCATAGAATGGTTGGGCTGGAAGGGACCTTTTAAGTTCATCTAGCTCAATCTTTGTGGCCCTTGGCTCACTACAACAGGTCCATATCTTTCTCATATTGAGGGCTCCACAGCTGGATGCAGTACTGTGGGTCTCACCAGAGCACAGTAGAGGAGCAGAATCACCTCTCTTGATCTGCTGGCCACGCTTCTCTTCATTCAGCCCAGGATGTGATTGGCCTTCTGGGCTGTGAGCATACATTGTTGGCTCATGTCCAGCTTTTTGTCCACCAGTATCCCCAAGTCGAAAAGGGTTGCTCTCTATCGCATCATCCCCTGGCCTGTGTGGGTAATGGGGATTGCCCCAAGCCAGGTGGAGGACTTTGCACCTGGCCTTGTGGAACCCCATGAGGTTCACATGGACTCATTTCTCCAGCTTGTCCAGATCCCTCTGGTGAACATGCCATCCCTCTGGCATATCAACCGCACCAGTCAGTTTGGTGTCATCTGCAGACTTGCTGAGGGTACACTTGATCCCACTGTCTTTGTCATTGATGGAGATATTGAACAGCACTGGTCCCAGCATGGAGCCCTAAGGGACACCACTTGTTACCCGTTTCAATCTGGACATCGAGACATTGACTACTATCCTTTGCATGTGACCGTCCCACAATTCCTTACTCACTGAACAGGCCACCCGTCAAGTCTGTATGTCTCCAACTTAGAGAGTAGAATGTTTTGGGAACTGTGTCAAAGGCCTTGCAGAAGTCACAGAATCACAGAATTGTTGGAGTTGGAAGGGACCTCTTGTGATCATCTAGTCCAACCTCCTGGGCTAAAGCAGGGTTGCCTAGAACATATCACATAGGATTGCATCCAGGTGGGGTTTGAAAGTGTCCAGTGATGGAGACTCCCACAACTTCTCTGGGCAGCCTCTTCCAGAACTCTTTCACCCTCACAGTAAAGGAAATTCTTCCTGTTATTTAAATGAAACTTTCTGTGTTCTAGCTTGTACCCATTGCCTCTTGTCCTGTCACTTGGCACTACTGAAAAGAGTCCAGCTCCATCCTCCCTGCACCTGCTCTTTATGTATTTATAGACATTGATGAGATCTCCTCTCAGCCTTCTCCAGGCAAAATAGTTCCAGCTCTCTCAACCTTTCCTTGTAAGAGAGATGCTTCAGTCCCCCAGTCATCTTTGTTGCCCTCTGCTGGACTTTCTTCAGTAGTTCCCGGTCTTTCTTGAACTCAAGAGTCCAGAACTAGACATGGTATTCCAGATGTGAGAATAAAGGCAGAGCATGACTTCCCTTGGCCTACTGGCCACACTCTTAATGCAGCCCAGAATACCATTGGCCTTCTTGGCCTTCTTGAACGTTGCTGGTTCATGCTGTCTACTATGACTCCAAGAGCCTCTGCAGGGCTACTTTCCAGCAGGTCTGCCCCTAACCTATACTGGTGCATGGGGTTGTTCCTCCTTGGGTATAGGATCCTGCATTTGCCTGTGTTGAATTTTATTAGATTCCTCTCTGTCCAATGCTCCAGCCTGTCCAGGTCATGCTGGATGGCAGCACAGCCTTCTGGTGTGTCAGCCACCCCTCCTAGTTTTGTAACATCAACAAACTTGCTGAGGATATGTTCTGTCCCCTCATCTAGGTCACTGGACCCAGTACTGACCCCTGGCGAGCACCACTGGTTACATGCCTCCAACTCAACCCTGCTCCAGTGATCACAACCCTCTGGCCTCTATCGCTCAACCAGCTCTCAACCCACCTCACTGTCCACATCTAACTCGCACTTCCTGAGTTGCCTAATAAGGATGTTATGGGAAACAGTGTCAGAAGCCTTACTGAGGGCAAGGTAGATGACATCCACTGCTCTCCTCTCATCTAACTAGCCAGTTATGGCATCATACACGGCTATCAGATTGGTCAAGCATGATTTCCCCTTGGTGAATCCATGTTGATGGCTCCCAATAACTTTCTTTTCTTCCACATATCTGGAGGTGAAATCCAGGACAATTTGTTCTATCACCTTTCCAGGGACAGAGGTGAGACTGACCAGTCCAGTTCCCTGGGTCATCCTTTTTGCCCTTTTTGAAGACTGGAGTGACATTGGCCTTCCTCCAGTCCTCAGCACCTATCCTGTTCTCCATGATCTTTCAAAGGTGTTGGGGAGTGGCCTAGCAATAACATATGCCAGCTCTCTCAGCACTTGTGAGTGCATCCCGTCAGGGCCCGTGGGTTTATGGATGTTCAGTTTGGCTAAGTGGTCCCCAACCTGGTCCTCCTCTAAGGGAAAGTCTTCCTCTCTACAGATCTTTTCCCCTACTTCCCAGGGTCCAGGGTTCATGAGAGCCAGCTTTAGCTGTGAAGACCAAAGCAAAGAAGGCATTCCATAATTCTACCCTCTCTGTAGTTCTGCCACTATGGCCCCCACCTCATTCATCAGTGGGCCCACGTTTTCCCTAGTCTTTCTTTTTCTCTTGATATACTGAAAAAAACCCTTCTTGTTGTCTTTGGTGCCCCTTGCCAGATTCAATCCAAGTGGGCCTTAGCTTTCATTGTTGCATCCCTGTATTCCCTGATAACATTCCTGTATTCCTCGCAAGTGGCCAGTCTTGTTTTCCACATTCTGCAGATTTCAAATGGCCAGTCTTGTTTTCCACATTCTTTAGATTTCCTTCTTCCATTTGAGTTTTTTTAGAAGGTCCTTAGTCCAGATATATGACACCCATTGCTCTTCCCTTGTCCACTGGTGTAGTCACTCCATTGTAGAAAGCCACTAGGTTGGTCAGACAGGACTTGCCCTTGGTGAAGCCCTGCTAGCTGTCTTGAATCACGTCCCTGTCCTCCATGTGCCTGAGCAGAGTCTCTAGGAGGATCTGTTGCATGTTCTCCCCGGCACAGAGGTGAGGCTGACCTGTCAGTAGTTCCCAGGGTCTTCCTTTCTAGCCTTTTTAAAAATGGGTGTAATATTTCCTTTCTTCCAGTCCCCCGGGACTTCACCCGACTGCCATGACTTTTCAGATGTGAAGAGTGGCTTGACAGCTACATCAACCAATTCTCATAACTCTGGGATGCATCACATCACATCACATCACGTCACATCCTGTAGACTTGTGTATGTTCATGTTCCTCAGGTGGTCACAAACCTTGTCTTCACTTGCAGTGGGAGGGACTTTGTCCTTCTGGACTTTGCCCTTTGTCATCCTAGGATGCCACGTGTTGCCCTTGCTTAATCACTGTGGGACGTGTTTTATCTGCATAATCCTTTCACCAAAATCGTGCTGTTCTTTTTTCTTGTGGATGGAAAACCTTCACAGTTTGAGAAATAAGAAAAACTGGAACTTCCTGTGCAGGCACAGAATTATACATAAGTGAAATTTAGATAATTTGAGCAAGACAGTTTGCATGACTGGAGGATTGTCATGGACAGTTGCAAGTTGGTCAGTAAATGTCAGACAAGGAGGAGTTCCACTGTAGGTAGAAGAGTGGTTTCAGTGCATATAGTGTAGCTTCGTACAGGAGGAACACCCTGCTTCATACCTTTGGATAAAGATCAGAGGGTGTAGCATCAAGGGAGAGTTCTTGGTGGGTGTCTGCAGTACGCTTTTTCCTCTAAACAAGGGGAAGTATGTGAAGCCTTCATATGAATCAAACACTCCTCAGACCTGCAGGCCTTGATTCTTGCAGAGGATTTCAGCTTACCGTGCTGTTTGCTGGGAAAGCAGTGCAGTGGCGCATTAGCAATCTGGGAGACCGGAGTGCATTGAGGATGGCTTCGTAATATAGTCACTTGGTGTACTTAGAAGGAGTGGTGCTCTTTTGAACTCACTGCTAACAACTAAGAAACTTTTCTGGAGATGTAACTGTCAAAAAGAGCTTTATGGTCACTGCAGCCCGGGCTGTAGAAGGTGCTAAGGAACATGAGGAAGGCAGATGGAAGAATGATGATGCTGAGCTTAAAAGAGCAGATTTGCATTTGCTCAGGGAACAGCAGTTCTTGTGGAAAGAGCAAGTATCTTGTGGAAAGCAGAAGGGCCCAGAACTGCTAGGGTATTATCAGAGATGCTTGCAGAAGCTCAAGCATGGTCCATCCTCTTAAGTGGGAAAAGAAGCAGACATAATAAGAAGCTAACCTATTTAAAACTGATCTACTGGTGAAGCTGAGAAACCAAAGTGCAGCCTATGGAATAGGGAAAAGGAGACTGACTATCAAACATAAATACAGAAACATTTCTCAAGTGTTCAGTGATGTATTTAGGAATGCCAAAGTTTAGCTAAAGCTCCAAGAGGCTGGTAAGAGCCTGAAAAAAGCCTTCCATAGGTATGTTATTAGGAAGTTGAAATACACTGGGGATTTAGTCTACTCCTGAATGAAATGGTAAGCTAAGGTACAAGTGTCACAGCCTGAAATACCCAATGTCTTCTTTTCCTCAGTCTTCATGGGTAAGGTCAGTCACTCAGTCTCTGTGCCAAAAGGCAATGATGAAAGAAGCAAAAAATGAATGACAGAAGATGGTAAAGCAGAGGTTCATGTGTACCAACTGGACATACACAAACCTTTGCTACCTGCTGAAATGCATCCAAGGGTGCATAGATACTTGCCTGGCATTGTGTTAGAACTGCTCTCTCATCTTTGGAAAGATAGAAGGCTATCTAAAGGGATGAGCCCAATGGGTGGTAGTGCCTCAAAGTCTAACTGGTAGCTAATCATGAATGGAGCTCCTCTGGGGTTGATACTGGGTTTTATATTGTCCCGTGTCTTCATAAGGAATATGGATGACCAAACTGAATATAAACCCACCAAACCTGGCAGATGATGCCAAGACTGGGAGGAAAGTTAGGTATACTGGAATAAAGAACTGTTACACAGGGACATTGCTGAGTTTGGAGACTTGCCTGACAAGAATTGTGCGAGATGTAACGAAGACCAGAGTGAAGTCCTGTACCTGGGATGGAGTGATCCTCAACATTGGTGATTAGTTGGGAGTCAGCTCTACTAAGGAGAACCAAAGGTGAGGGTGGTGCTGAGCCACAAGCTGAACATGAGTTGGCAGTGTACCCTGGTAGCCAGGAAGACCAACAGCCTCCTCAGATTTATGAAAAGGAACGAAGGCAGCAGATGAAGATTTCACTCTGTCTGGCCTTTTGAAGGCCACACCCAGAATACCATGTTCAGTCTTGGTCCACCTGACTGAGGAGACTGAAAGACAGAAGGAATTCTAGCAGAGGACCAGGATGATTAGAGGATTGGAAAACTTGACACATATGAGTAAAAGCTGTAGAAGTTAGTTGTGTCTAGTCTGAGGAAGACAAAGCTCAGGGCATTTAATCACAATCTTGCAATATCTAAAATGTAGTTTTAGAGAGGATGAAGGTGGTGTCATCACAAGGGTGTATGGTGACAGGACAAGAGCAACAGGCCCAAGGAGCTTAAGGGAAAACTCCATCTGAATAAAAAAAAAATTAAAAAAATCTCATGTGAAAACAATTGAACGCTGGAGTAGTTACCCAGAGAAGTGGTGGAATATCCTTAGCTGGAAATGTTCAAGTCTTGGCTTGACAGGAACATAGTTGAAGACTCTACTTTCAATGAGAGGCTCAAAAATGAAATTTACAGACGTCATGGTTTCCTAAACTTCTCTGATTTCTGTAATTCTTCATCTCAATCTCCTTGGGAAGTGTTGGTGCTCATGCTTACTTTGTGAGTGGTACCCTTCAAAAACTTAATTCTGTATAGTTTTTTCAATCTCAACAAGGCATCAGAACTCTGAAGATCCCTTAGAATTCAGCATGATTCAGTCATCATGTTTCTGGAAATGAAGGCACTGTGTTTTTACATGCTTAAAAATTTAATAAAAAGCACTTATTTGACAAAAGAACTTTGGTGGTCCAGCTGCTTGTATCCCACTATTCTGCTCTCTAGCTTTTGAAACTGAGGGATTTGGGTACTGTACAATTGCTGAATATGTTTGGAAGTTTATATAATGCACTTTCTAGTAGCTTCGTTATTGTTCTTGGATCTGATAAAAGCTGCTCCATTGCAATAAAACAACTGACAGCTCAGTTACTTAATTTGCAAATATCTTTTATGGATGTCTTTCTGCACAAAGTCGTTATGAGGGAGTCGGGGATAAGTTTTTGTTTGTTTGGCTGTTTTTTTGTATTATTGCAAAACTGCCTCAGTATGAAGATTTGGAAAGAATGAGCATGATTGGTTAGTGATTGTAAAGAATTCTTGGAATAGCAGAGTAGAAACTTGGAAGCTTTAAAAAATCTGTGGTAACTGTTAACTTTTTTCCTAGGCTTTTAATTAAAGAAATAAAACAGATGAAGTCTGAATATATGTTTCTGCAGGTACAGTCTTGCCAGTAAGTGTTTTTCCTTGTAACTAAGTTTGTATATGTAAAATATATTTCTTACTCTGTTTTATGAAATGCAAACTATGATTTCATTGTAGTCCACTTGAATTTTTGTTTTGCATGTGCATGTAGGAAGAAACAAAATGACCCATACAAAAATGACAAAATAGACAAAAATGAGAAAATTCAGAAGGTGAGCATTTCTTTTTCTGCTGTGGCAGTGTGCTGTGTTTCTTACGTTTCTGCAACACTTACTCTCAGATACTGTTATTTCCACTTGTCTACCTGTGATTATGCAAGCCCTTTCATCTGCCTTTATGCTGTTTTTATTCTCTCAATATAGGTATTACAGCAAACATTGTAACATAGTATTTTTGTCCTTCTTGCCTATTAAGGTCCGCAGTATGTGGACGCTTGTAATGGAAACACTTACGTCTCTGAAAAAGGAAAAGGAAGTTGTGGATTCTGTACTTAATGTACTTAATGGTTCTGTTGATCAGTGCGTTTTAGATGGAAATAATGTTGTATTACGTGTTCCACGGCTGTTGACACACAGAGTTGAAAGTGACATACATCAAGTAAGTTATTTTTGCCCTTCTTGCTTTGCCCTTCTTGTTTTTTTGATTCCTGTATGTGTAAATCAGAACCTTAAAAAAATAAATAAAAGTACTTCACATACAATAAGAGGTGATTGCTCAAGAGTGGACAAAATATGTCCAATTTGTATATAAAAAGAATTTGTTAGGATTATGCTGCTGTTTAATACTGGTTATGCGTCAGCCATTAACTTCTGAAGTTCAATAACTGCATTGATAAGTCTGTCTGATTAGTAGTTGATTTTATTTTTTTATTTAGACTTTAAAACTAGGTTGACCAGTTTAGCTGTTGCTTTTGTTTCCAGTGTGTAGTATATAGTGCTCTTTAAGCCTGCCACCACTTTTGGGGCAGTGGTTAAATAGAATACCTTATTAGTTGAAGTTTTCTTAGTTCCTGTTGTTTTATAGGCTGCTTTCAAGCAGCTGATTCTAGAAAACAAACCTGAGGGTTAAATCTGGAGTTTGCATTTTGGTTGTTTCACTTATCAGGAACTGAATCAGAATACCAAGTGGAAGTTTGTATCCCTGCTCTGACTACAGAAGACATCATTTTCTGAATATCGATGTTGTTCACTAGTTCTTTTTTATTTTTCTTGCTTGCTGGACTTCAAGCTTTGTACAGGAAATCTATATGAAGCTGGAAAACTGAATTTCTTAACAGTCATTCACTTATTAAATGAAGCCTTGAGGACACTGAGAGATGAATATCATCAGTCTGAATTTAAACCACAGCTTAAGGACACTGAGACTATGGTTACAGTCTGCAATGCATTATTACAGAAGTTGAAAGCAAAGAGGTAATTGCCTGGAAATTTTCTCTGGTTCCTTGTGCTTTAGTGTAAGGATCATGTATTCCTACCTTGGATTCTTTTCTAAAATATTATAATTTATAGTGAGAGCATGTTGGTTCAGTCTTTTTCCTTTGTCTCTGGGAAATTGACATTTGTCTGAATTATCTTTATAATTGTTAACTGAGATTTTTTTTCTAGTTAACTTCAGGTTTTTGCCCTTGCTTCATTAATATTTTAGGCTTTTTTCCTGAGGATCTTGTTTGCTAACTGAATTGATCTTTGTTTGTCCTTTTGTTTATTTTGGTTTTTTGTAACATTTATCAGTTCTGGGATATATCTTGTTGTGTGTATCTTATTGTGTGTATGTATTTTAGTGTAGTTCTTCCAATTCTACTATAAGGAACATAAAAACTACCTAGCAACTATTTTGCAGGTTGTGAATTTCTTGTAGTTCTTAGTGCATGCACAAAGGCATGAATAAGTTGATGTATAGCAAAGATTTTGCAGGGTAAGGGGAACACATAATACTCCTCATCTTTATGCAGAATGGTTGTCTCCATCAACAGATGTATTATGCTCATTTTCCATGCTCATATATTGCAGCCTAGCAATAGAGGAACAGCAGCAAGTGTCAAGGAGTCAATCTTCCAGAAGAGAAGAGGACTGGCAAGTGAAGTGGAGAAACTTCCTTGGCCTGTGTCCTTTTAGTGCACTGTTTTGTGAGGATCCAGTAAGTAGTGTTCAATTTTGTATTATTCTAGGGAAGAGAAAGGGTGAAGGTGAGAGAGGATGTACCTCTAGAGCTGGTAGGTTCTGTTGCAGCACCTAAGTTCTATATGTGAAGTTAGGAAATCAGCACAATATAGAAGAAATCGATTTATGATTGGACTTTGTTAAAGAAGGTATGTTTGCCTTAATGACAGCTAATGTCTTCATTTGAGATGGGCGATGGAACCATCTTGTCAAGACAGAAGATCAGCATAAGAGTGATCTGATTTTGTTTTAGTTTTGTCTACATTCAGCGCCCCATGGAAATTGAGCTTTTGTGTCCTATCACTCTGGACATCTGCTGAGTTTTGGGTTTCCCTTTTAAAGTGATCTGCTTGATGAATGAATAATTTCCATTCTGACACTTGCTTTGCTACAGGAATCTGAGTTTATACCCTTACCTAGCTACCCAGCAGAGAGGAGAAAAGTTCATGTTGAGTCTGACAACTGGTTTGCACAAAAGCTGTTGTAAATAGTCATTAGTGGCTGTTGATATGCATAATTTTTTCAGCCTGCTTGTGTATTTTTTTTCTTTTGAAAGGAACTTGATTTAAGACCTTTGCCAGCCTGTTCTTTGAATGTCACAGAAGAAGATCATGAGTATAGTGTCTTTTCTCAACATCTAGTATCAGCTTCAGGTGAGTGCCAGTGTTAATGAGAGGGATGAATATGCCCTTGGGGATATGTATTGATAAACACAGGTAGGTGTGGTGGGAAAAACAAGGGTGGAATTCTGCTTTCTGGAATTCATATGCCACACAATTGATGTGTATGTGGAAAGGAGGGGATAATGATGTCATGTGGCTGGGACTGTAGTTTGGAGGAAGGTAGAATGTGCGGAGTAGCAGATTGAATGATGCCTCTTGAACACGTGTTTAGCAGCAATGCCAATAGGTACTGGCTGGTAACGGCTTCTGTGGCTGCAGGTGGCACCTGAGCAAGAGGTTTGATTCATCTGTCCTATTTATATATTAATTTATATTCCTTGAAGTCTTCATGTAGTGCCCCATGTGAATAGTCTACAGAAATGGTCTGAGTCAGTTGTGTCATCTGGGAAGCCTGAGCAAAAGAAATGGAAGCAATAACAAAACTCTTTAACTTGCTTTTCTAGATATTTATGACTCTGTTCATGAAGTGTGCGATGAGAAAGATGACAGAGCATTGGAAAATGTGATGGATAAATCAATGTCACCACCAAGATGGTATGGTGTTATTGAGAAGTTGATAAAATTGTATCACAAAACCCCTTAATTCATAATTTGTTAATTTTGGGAGGCTGATACACAACTAGGGCTAAATCTGCTCTAATTGTCACATGTTCTCCCTATAATAAAATTGCCTTCTGATGACCGGGACGAATTGAGGGAAATCGTAACGGACAGATACGGGGCACACAATCATTAATGGACTTGTACTAAGATTTTTATGCCACTTACTAACTTGTTTCTAAAATTTTTTATCCCTCACCTTTCCCCTCGCCTCGCATTGCTCCCCAAGGATTTCTTCAGTGCCTTTGGAATTGCCAGAAGCATCTGAAAACAGAGATGTGTTCATTGAAAAGGTTATTCATTATTTTCTTACCTTTCAAAAAAATTAAAATCAGAATACTTGCTTTTTATGTTGATCAAAGCCTAGATTAAGTATTTTGCAGTTAAGGGTTGTAGAGTTTTTTTGTCTTTTTTTTTGTTTTGTTTTGTTTTCTTTTTTAAGTAGTATTTTTACACATCTGGGTAGTCCTATAAAGCTATAAAAGCTGCCAGGGACTTCATTAAGCTTTGGGAAAAGACAATGGGAAGTAAGTTTACGTGCATCTGAGTTCCAGTGCAACATACAGTGTGTCACTGATTCCATGCTTGCTGAAACAGTTTTTTTCGGTGTGAGCAGTGGTCATTTTAATGTTTCTTTAACTAATGTGTGACCATAAGAGTTACAGTGGAACTAAGAGCAAGCTGAATGTGCAATTGTCTGTTGCCCAGTTGTTTACTGTAGTGTGTTCGAGGTAATTGCAGCAGGCTCATCTGTGATCTATGCAGCACCCTATCTTAAGCACTGTTTATGTGTTTATACTTCAAATACTATGCAAAAATATTTTGTGTCTAGTTAGAATTTAAGATTGAAATATTTTTTTGATTAAACAGTAATGCCATTGCTGTTCAGAATTTGTATGGCAGTTTCCTCACAATAATTTTGAAACTTGAGTTTAAAACTTTTAATAATTCATGTATATTCCTCTAGAACTTGCATACTGAAACCTGCAAAGGGAAAGAAAATCTTTCACCTCCAAAGATCTTAAATGGAAAGGCTGAGTCTGCCATTTCAGAAATGCAGACAAATGCAAGTGAAGATGGTGTCCAGGTGGAGTCTCCTGTCAGAAAAGAAGACCCTCTTGAAAAAGCCAGAGATGAACTGGCAGGAGAGGTTAGGAAATGGTTTTCTTTTTAAATTTTCTTGTTTCTTTTTAAAGAAATGGTCATTAAGTTAAGAGAACAAAGTACCAACTGTATCATAAAATGCCCCTTGTAGTCTGAATATATAAAAAGTTACTTTTTCCTGCTCAGCAGTAATCAGCGTTACTAAGTTTTAGAGACTGCCCACTTAAGTACCCCCTGAAAGCATAGAGCTTGTGGAGTTACACTTAAAAATCATGGTGAAGCGAATAGCACTTTCAGTAGAATAATGGTATTATCTTTAGCACGTCTCATACTTTAGTTTATGAACCACTGCATATATTAAGAATTCAGCAGTCTTTTTTGTTTCTGAAGTTATACAGATTAAATATTTAATGGGATATCAAAGGTTAGGGCTGATTTGACCACTAAATGAAGGACAGAAACTTTCTGACTTCTCTTCCTCTCCAAACAGGAAGAGAAAAGGAATGAGTCAGAGAGACTTATGGATTGGAAAAGAAAAACAAAACTGCTTTAATGAACAATAATAGTATTAATAAAAATATAATGAAAATATACAAAACCAGTATCAAACCCAGCTGCTCCCCGTGATAGCAATCCCCACTGATAACTGCAGAGCAGGCAGCACTGGGCAAGCCCTAGGCTCCATGGCAGAGGGGAACCAGACATAGGAGCTGGATTTGGGAACTTAGCATTGGGATCAAAGGCAGAAGAATGGACGGAGTCCGCCTCAGACACTGGCCTTTGAAGAAGAGAAGAGCTTAACCCCTGTGATTCCTCAGATTTCTACTGAATATGACATATATGGAATGGAATACTCCCGTTGTTCAGCTTTGGGTTGCCTGTCCTCTCCATTCCTCACTGGAGGTGCAACCTTCCTTGCAATGCCTTTTTACTTGTCAGCACCCTCAGTGTGGCACACAAGGGCCAGCAGTGACCTTGGTCACCACAGGAGCAAGTAAGAGCCTTTCTGCATCCCAGTCCCAGGCAGTAACTGTAAACATCAGGTGTTGTCACTGCTAGTAGCAGGCACTGTTTGTAAAAAGATGCTGTTAACTTCAGGAAGTGCAGCCTCTTAGGAGACACTTAGCTGAAAAGTAAAATGATTGAACAGAATTGGTTCGGTTTAGCTCAAACCAGCACACAGGGTGTTGGGATAAAAGAGGCAACAATTTCTGTTGCAGGAAGGAGGCACCAAATTCTGTCACTTCAAAAGAGGCAACATTTTCTGTTCCCAAAAAAAAAAAAAAAAGGGCAAATCAGTTTGGCAGAAGCTAAGCTCCCTTGTGTTCCAGTTTGTCCTGAGATACCAGAGGGACTGGGGGCAGCTAGGCTTAGGTTCTCAGCGATGCCCAATTCAGCATTACTAACGCAATGTGCCAATATGCCTTCGATATGGTGGTGCCCCTGGAATTACAATTCACGAGAGTGGCAACATACTCACCCGGCCAAACTCTGTGTGTCAGTGTCGAGGACTCACACGGCCAGACTGGAATCAGATATAGTTTATTGAAGCAACAGATACACAAATTCATTGTGATTGCTGGTGACAGTGACTGACTGCAAAGCACGTGCAAAAGTTACAGATGTATTAGATTATGAGCAGCTCTGTAAAGATTTCCTAAGTATCCCAGGGTGAGTGTTTGGATCTTACCCCAAGGCGTCCCCGTGGAGGGGAAGAGGCTCAGCCTGTAGACTGATCCCAGGAGTCAGAGGTGGTCTGTGGTGGTATTTCCTCTGATGGTGGTGGAATCTTCCCTAACATCCCTCCTCTCTTTGGCCTTTATATATTATTTGTTACCTTTCAGGTGGAGCTTGAGTGACTCTAGTCATGCATATCTGTATTGTGATTGATGTAAATTTTCCTCACTTCACGTTTAAATGTATAGACTCGAAAAATTCAACGTGGAAGCTCAGTGAGGGCTGGTCGCACCTCAGAAATGGGTAGCTTTTTGGGATGGAGGTGTGCTTTGGTATTATGATGAGATTATAAGGAGCATAATTCACCCAAAGGATGACATCTGTCACAAGATGATAGACTGTTGGCCCAGAATAGTAAATATGCAGTTAATTGGCTCCTTGACGTCTCCAGGTTCCTTTGTGTTCACAAAGCTTGACCATGGTATCTCCACTGTGTTCTGTGCTCTGTGGGATTTTCTCTTCAGAGTCAGAAACATCAAGCTCCCTTAATGCTACTAATCCTTAAGGTTACCTTAGAAACCTTTGTGGGGAGAGCTCCTTATGCACCAGCTGCACGCTGTCCTGGAAACTTTCTCGATGTTCTGATGTGTGAACAATGCTATGTAGGTAATTAAGTAATTTTAGATAATTACTCCACCTCAAATGCTGTGGGAAAGGTTAGGTTTTTGAGGGTCAAATGCTCTTGCAATGTTTTAGCCAAGATGGTTGCCTTGCGGTTAGAACTAAAGTTTAGGCAAAGATGCCTTAGTCCCACACAGGAGCTTGAGAATTTTAAGCACGAATTTAACTGCATCCTGTTAGGTATTTTATTTAAGATTTAACCTAGGAATTCCTTCAAAAGAGTTGGTGTTAAGTGTGCCACAGCTTGATTTGGAAAGTAAATCGCATCTTTCAGTGAAATGGTACAGTTCTTTTACTTATGTAAATATAGCTCTTAGTGTTCATGTTCATTCAGTTCTTGACTAGTGTCTTACAACATTCTATCTGAGCACATTTTCTTCTTTTAGAGATGAATTCATAGGTGATGAGGGAACTGTGATTGAATTCTGATTCTGACTCTGAAGAAGAATCAGGAGATTCCAAACTATTCAGATCATTTGGAGAATGGGATTTATTTTGAGACATAGCTGACAGAAATAATGAAGTTATAATAATATTTGTTTTCTCAGGATTTTCTCTCTCTTAATATTCTACAGATTGCAAGAACAGTGATGTCTGAATCACCTCAGAGTGCTGAAGGAAAAGGATTGTCATTAGAAGATCTGATTAAGTTACTTTCCTTTGACCCATTTTTGACACGGAAACAAATTCCCCGAACTCCAGAAAATCTGCGTAAGTCTAAAACTGGTTTTATAATACTCAGTGGTTAGAACAATGATGTTGTACATATGACACAAGAAGAAAAAGGTAATTATTTCATTGAAGCTGGTGTTGTGTTATGGAGCGAGCCACGAGGATAACTTGCAGCTTCAATAAAAGATAAAGATATGAATACTATGAATTTAACTTTTTTCCCATGTAGAATACTCTTTGTGTTGAGGAAGAAAACTAAACATAAACAATATAAAACAGCTGTACATATTACCTGTTGGATTGCTTATGTTACTGAAGGGACAGAAGAAAAACACATTGATTAAGATTATGAAAGTAATAAAATTTTGCTTTGGTTTGTTCTATTTAGTTACTGAAATCAGAAGCTCATGGAGAAAAGCCATTCAAACTGGTGGCTCGTCAGACACAGAGCTGGACGCACCTGAGGTATCACAGCTAGAAGTATCCCAACTAGAAGAATCTTCGGCGAATGCTACACTTGCAATGCAGAGGGTGTCAGATTTGAATTTCACGTGCTCTATCCCTGCATCTCCTGTACCTGACTTTGATCCTCCCTTGTCAGAAAGGAAGTCCCAGTTAAGTTCTACGAAATTTAGACCTGAAGAGCAGATGATGATAAGTAATGCCACTGACTCTGCGATTTTGGAAACATCTGAAGTGCGAGAGAGTGAGAGCACTGAAGCACAGGAATTAGAAAGTGGTTTTTTGAATGAAAGTTCTGTAGAAGATCCGGAAGAACAGACTTTTCAATATGCAAAGAGCCTGAATGCTACAGATATTTGTTCAGAAAACAATAGTGAAACAATTGGTCTGCCCTCATACTTATCTCAGTGTTCCTCAGTAAATGGGTTGCTGCACTGGAATGTCCCTCCGTTGTTAAGTTCTCTCAGCCATGAAGCAGGCAGCTTGGGGATATTGGATGAGACACTTCCAGAAATATTTGATAACATAGGTCCTAATATATCTACAAATTCAGAGACTGATTTTGGTGAACTGGAGGACACATATGTACCAGAGGGTTCAAAAAATGAGGGAGATATTCAAAAATCACAGCTAGATCTCCAGTCCCTGTTAACCACAGATGAAGAGCTGAAAGAGTCTGTATCTGGAAGTGAAGAGGAGCTGCACCAAACACATAGTAAAAGTGTATCTATAAGTTGTAGGTCAGACCCAAGTCTTTCAGCAAAGAGATGAGTTGTGTAGTCCTGTAGAAATCTTCTCCCTGGATGCAGAATTTACCAAGACACCATCACCAACATCTCATAATGAAAAAAAATATTCCCTTTCATCTTTGCTGGTAAACTGTCAACGTCTGGAGGAAATGACATCAGTGATAGAAGACATCCCATTAGACTTAATGTGTAGATTGAAGGGTAAGTGTCCGAGTACTTCGACAATAAGATTTTGTCTATTCAGACACTGAGTATACTGCCATAAATAACGTGTGCTGAATAGCTGAACCCTGCTGTCTAAGTGTGGGGAGACAGACAATTTGTGTGCTTATTCCTTATGGAAGATGAGGCCTAAAAGCAAAGGAAACATGTTTCATCTAGTTGTATCAAATCCTGCAAGTAGGAGGAGAGTTGTTTATCTGACTTTCTAAGGTAATCTGCAGCTATTTTAAGAAAAAACAATTAAAAAAGCCTTATAGTGCATCAGCAATGGAGTGATCTGAAATTAAATTTTGAGAATTCACAGTTAGTTTGAAATAGTGTGTTAACTCTGAAAAAATTTAGCTGTTTAGAAATGTGCTGTAGATAGTTGGAATTTTAGTGAGTTCAGTCAGGTGTTCATAGTCCATAATGCTTATATTAATGCACTTTTTATAAAGAAATATCTTACGTTCAAGCCTGCCTGCCCCCTCACCCCATTTCCAATAGAAGTGTCAACTTTATTAACCAGTAGTTCAGTATTTAGTTACATGCAAGGTCAGTTTTTGAACTGCATTAATAAAAATGAGCCAGTCATAGTTTCACCAAAACAGCTGGTATTTAATGGAGTGCTAGGAATTTAACATACCAAGGTATTCTCAAGCAGTAGTGAGATTTATACTTTGTGCAAAGGCTTGCTGCAATTTAGCTTTCATTTAAAATTGTGGCTGTACTGATGACAGATGATTTTACTATAACAGTTGTCAAAATTGGTAGTACCATTTCATATATTTTTTTTTTTAAAATATGCCAAACACTTTTGTAGTAGTAGTTCTGTCAATTAATCTAATATTCTAGGATGCTAACTAATACACTTTTTCTTCCAGATAAAGAGCAGCTGAATGAGGAGCCAGGCATGAAGGAACCTTCATCAGGATAGAATTTGTAAAGCAGAAGTGTAACCATAGTAGCACAATTAGGTTCACTTGTGTGTGCAGCATCTTCTCAAAGCACCAGCTGGATCAAGGAGTTGCAGTGCTTTGTATTTTTTCCAGAGACTGTATTCCAGTCTCCTTGTTTAGGAGTGTCAGCTGCCTGCTCTGGTTCTTCCAGTCTAATGTCACACGTATTTAGCATTCTATGTACAGCCCATCATCTATGTATAGAGCTGTGAATTCCTTTGTGTGTGTATTTTTTTAGAAGAACAGATACTGAATAGATGATATAATCCTAGAAAATAAAAAAACCAAAAATATCAAGTGAAAAATTGTGGAATTTTTAGTGTCTCTATAATGCCTTTAATCCTCATCCCTCCCCCCTCAAAAAAAAATCCCACCTAAAAATTTTTCTTGCTTCATGTTCATTGGATTATTTTTCTGGTGGATGTTGCCATGATTTGTACTTTCAGTACCAATGACGTGTGTATTTTTTTGGGCATATTACTGAATAAATGTTTACACTTAGAATGTTAACATTTATGACTTGTAGTAATGTTAATGCCATGTTATTTTCAGAGAGTTGATATACATCTATTACATCATGATGTAAGTAACATCAGCTCTAGCAGCAGCTTTCCTCAGACCATGTCAACAGTGCAGATCGCACAGTGAGAGCTGTTTCTTTTAATTGCTGAGACAGATTGAGATGGGAGTGGGCTTCCTGGAGATGGAGAAGCTGAGGCAGAGCTGGGAGACCTGAAAATAGGTGGAAGAAGGGACTTGGCACTTGGGAGAACTATAAGGATGTTGTCAGGATATGAAGGGTGACAACAGGAAAGGTCAGAGCCCTAGTAGAACTAAAACTGGCAAAGAAAGTAAAAAAGAACAAGAAGGGCTTCTTCAAATATGTCAGTAGGAAAAGGAAGAATAGGGAAAATGTGGACCCGCTGCTGAATGAGGTGTCAGCCCTGGTAACCAAGGATGCAGAGAAGGCAGAGTTGCTGAATACCTTATTTGCTTCAGTTTTTACTCATAAGATCAGCCCTTGTGAGCTCTAGACCCTGGATGCAGGAGAGAAAGCCTGGAGGAGGGAAGACTCTTCACTAGTCAATGAGGACAGGGTTAGAGATCAGTTATGCAAATTGAATATACACAGGTCCATGGGCCCTGATGAGATGCACCCAAGAGTGTTCAGAGATCTGGCTAATATTGTTCTACCAACCCCTATCATTTTCAAAAGACCGTGGGTAACAGAAGAGGTGCCTGAGGACTGGAGGAAAGCCAATGTCACTCCAGTCTTCAAAAAGGGCAAGAAGGAAGACCAGGAGACTACAGACCAATCAGCCTCATCTCCATCCCTGGAAAAATGATGGAGCGGCTCATTCTGGAGGTCATCTCTAAGCACATGGAGGAGAAGAAGATTATCAGAAGTAGTCAGCATGGATTTACCAAGGGGAAATCAACCTTGACTAATCTGATAGCATTCTATGATGTGATTGGATGTGTATATGCAGGAAGAGCAGTGGATGTAGTCTGCCTTGACCTTAGCAAGGCTTTTGACATAGTCTCCCGCAACATCCTTGTGAGCAAGCTCAGGAAATGTGGGATAGAAGAACAGACAGTGAGATAGGTTAAGAACTGGCTACACAACAGAACCCAAAGAGGGGCGATCAATGGTCCCGAGTCCAGCTGGACATCTGTAACTAGTGGAGTCCCCCAGGGATCAGTGCTGGGTCCAGTTCTGTTCAGCGTTTTTATCAACAACCTCAATGATGGGACGAAGTGTCTTCCTGGCAAGTTTGCTGATGATATGAAACTGGGAAGTTTGGCTGATAGACCTGAAGGCTCTGTGGCCATTCAGCAAGATTTGGACAGAGAGCTGGGCAAAGAGAGCTCGGCAAAGAGGATCCTAATGAGGTTCAACAAGAATAAGTGCAGAGTCCAACACCTGGGAAGGAGTAATAAAATGCACCAGTATAGGTTAGGAGGCAATCTGCTAGACAGCAGGCCCATGGAGAAGGACCTGGGAGTCCTGGTCGTCAACAAGTTACCCATGGGACAGCAAGGTGCCCTTGTGGCCAAGAAGGCCAATGGTATCCTGGGGTGCATTAAAAACAATGTGTCCAGGAGATTGAGGGAGGTTCTTCTCCCCCTCTACTCTGCCCTAGTGAGACCTCACCTCATGTCAGGGACTAAACAGATGTTTCAGACAGTCTGGGTTTTCTCTGAACCCAAACAAGCCAGAGCCGCCTGCCTGGCACCTGTCTGTGTGTGTGCGGGGGTGGCTCAGCACTTTGCTGAGCCCCCTGCCCCAGCCCTGCACCGCTGGAGCTGTGGGGGTGGGTGGGGCTGTGTGAGTGACCTTAATCCTGACCTGAGAATCAGTGAACCTGAGTGAGTTAATGTCCTGAAAACTTGGGACGTGACACCTAGAGTACTTCATCCAGTTCTGGGCTCCCCAGTTCAAGAGGGACAGAGATTTACTTGAGAGAGTCCAACAGAGTGCTGTGAGGATGAATAAAGCACCAGAACACCTGCCTTATGAGGCAAGGCTGAGAGACCTGGTGCTTTTTAGTCTGGAGAGGAGAAGACTGAGAGGGGATCTAATTAATGTATAAATACATGAGGGCTGGGCATCAAGAAGAAAGGGACCACCTCTTTTCACTTGTGCCCTGTGATAGGACAAGTGGCAATAGATTCAAGCTGCAGCACAAGAAGTTCCACCTCAACATGAGGAAGAATTTCTTCACTGTGAGGGTGACAGAGCACTGGCACAGGCTACCCAGAGCGGTTGTGGAGTCTCTGGAGTCTTTCAAGACATGCCTGGATGCATTCCTCTGTGACTACCCTAGAGGATCCTGCTCTGGCAGGGGGGTTGGACTAGATGATCTTTCAAGGTCCCTTCCAACCCCTAACGTTCTGTGATTCTGTAATAATACATCTTGTGGTGGAGTGGGAATGTAAAAGTTAGAGAATCCAGCAGATAAACTTATTGTAAAAGTACTGACCCCTAACCTGCTGCGTTAGCTGAGATCTGAGTTGTTACTAATTTGTTTGTCTCCTCTGGTATATCTTTCTCCTCATTTCTTCCAAAACATTTCAAATAGGTTTTAAAAAGAATCTTCACCTGTATTTCACATATTTTTATGAAGTAGAATTTGACAGGCTTTATGCAAAGAGATTTCTATGGCTGGTTTTGGAAGCTATAATGTAATTGCTAACATGTTAGCAGCTAAGTGGGAAGTGCTTAATAGTACCTTTACATGTTGATCTAATTATGTTGAAACAGCTGGAAAATTGAAATGTCTGGCCTTAGCTATCAGCTGTCTGAAACAGACCCATATTCCTTGGAGACCTGGCCTTTACAGCTTGGTGCTGTAAAGGGGGCAGCTTAGCTCAGTGGTTTGAGCACAGTGCTGGCA